CTGGCGGGCACATACGCACCCGCTTTCTGGTGCGCGCTGCGCTGCCGCGGGCCCGGCGCCGGCAGGGACCCACGCGCACGCTCCGGCACACGCACCTGTGAGCACTTGCACCCGCAGCACGCCGCCGGCGCACGCAGACACACTCCGCACTCACACCGATAACAGAGCACACGCCGATACAAGCCAGCACCGAGCACAAGCCGCTCGAGCGCTGACACTGAGAACACCTGCTGCTGCTCCTCCCCTGGCACAGCCCGCACCCAGCACACCCGCACACCCCTCACACACCCCTCACACACACGCAGCTCTCTCAGCAGCAGCAACCGCTGCCCTGTCCTAGGCGGGCACCCAGGACGGCTCCAGCGGACTGGAGGGACAGCTGGAGCCCCCCTGGCAGCTCCCCTCCGGGGGTCTTGGGCACGGGGCAGACGCCGACTGGTCCTAAGGGAACCCAGGGAGGCACCAGCTCCTCTGGGACACCCGCACAGAAACACACACACACACACACACAATTTCAGGCCGCTGGGCCCTGTCAGCAAGCCCTTGGAAGCTGTAGGGTCACAGCAGAGCTGCCCCCCAGCCCCTCTCCCAGGGGCACCTGGGCACCTTCATGGCTCTTCCCTCCCTGCTCCCTGTGGTGCTGTGGGCTGCTGCAGCACCCAGAGCCATGGTGCTGCGCACTCCTCCACACCCCCACCTAAGGCCCCTTGGTGCAGCTTTCTCCCCCCTCCCCAGGCCACGCACCAACCCAGGATGAATAGGGAAAGGTGGAGAACCAGAGCATAAAGGCACTTAACCGATTACTACCTCCCTGTTGCTTTGGAATGGACCACGTGCCAACTCAGAGGGCTTGGGAAAGGCAGCGGACCAGAGAATTACGGCACTCCCAGCCCACCTGCTGCCTGACACCACTCCCCACCCCCTTACCATTTAAAAACCAGTAAGAACCATCAATTCTTTCTGGCAGCCTAGTACATCTGTACTTGGTTGTGGCCCAAAGGGGGTGATACCAGAACTCCAAGATTTAGCAAGTTCTGGGCCTGTGCAACTGATAGAAAGTTCCAGAATATTCTGTCATCTGAGCTTGGCTGAAATGGAAAAGTACCTGATGAAAGTCAGTTGTCTCGGACCCTATAAAGAGATTCTAAGTGAGACTCTTAGAGGTCTCCTGGATTGCAACAGGCTGTGAGCGGCGTCTCCCCTGACCTGGGATGCCTCTCAGGCTCAAAGTCCTCGAAGTTTGAAGAGCATCTGCCCACAAAGCTGACGGGAGGCCAGGGTGAGACTTCTTGAGTCTCAATTATCGCCCATTGAGAAATACATTGTGAGTATTTGCTCCAAACTTCAGAAAAGGGAAATTTTAACTATAGGCTTGCCTCTTCCATCCACCTCTTTACCTATCTGTGTGCTTGAATAGGCACATTTGCCTTCACAAGTGTGTATGTGTATGTATTTCACTGGCTATCCAAGTATTTCCATACTCTGTGTGTGTTTTTTGTGTTTATACATGTATGCATATATATCTATTTTGATTTAGAATACCTTGTAGTAAGTTAGTGTGAATCATGTCATTCTCAAATCTGTAATTAAGTCACTATTTTAATCATAGTATATTGTACCAAATCACCCTGTTAATCTTTAAATTGGTCAGTCATTACGTGTTGCTAAAATTCAATCTTTTGATCCACCTCACACCATTAATAAATCTTAAATTGCTGTTAAATCATAACTGTGTGAGATACTTTCATCCATGACAGGAAGGGGGTGCAGGGGTTTATGCAGCATGAGGTGTGACAGGAGACCCCTGTCCTGGCCTCGGGGGGATACAGTGGAGCTCTGTGCTCAGCCAGCCAAGCCCTGTAGCCTGCAGCAAGCTGCAGAGGGAGCAGGAGGCTGCCAGAGGTTTTAGAAGTGCAGCTGGTAAGGGGGAGAGCCAGCTGGCAGGGTTGCACAGGCAGGAGGGGTCCCCGCAGAACCTGGCCAAAGCCAGGGCCGTGTGCCTGTGCAGGGTGGAGGCAGAGGGACATCGTGCAGTTCCACGCAGAACCTCCATCCTGGAATCATCACTGGTGGGTCGGGACCCAACATGTCCTGGCTATCTGTTGGACCACAGGAGAGGGATGTGCTGGTGAGGAGCTGCACGGTCGCTTTCTGGCTGCAGCGAGTGTCCCCCTGGGTCCCCTGCACCCCAGGGCTTGTGCCTGGGCTCCTGTGACGGGTGCGATAGGCTGCACACCTTGCTCCAGCTGGGCTGGTGGGCCCAGGCTGCTGGGGAGCTGCTGGCTGGCTGTGGGCCACCCTGGGGTGGGTTTTCCTGGTGCTGCCCCCCAGAACCCTCTCACGCTCTCTGCCTGCCCGCAGCTGGCTGCCAGCTTGGTGCTGGGCACCGCCGGCGCTCCGCAGCCCTGCACAACCCCGAGCTCTTCTACTGGGTGCAGCTGTGGGTGTTACCAGTGCGGAGCCTTGGGACAGCCTTGGTCAGTGAGGGGCTGCTGCCCTCCTGACAGAGGGCCCTGGTGAAGCCTGAAGTCTCTGCAGGACTTGGCCTCTCTCAGCCTGCAGAGTGAACTCTGAATAAAACAGATTCTGTTCCCAGCGCTGAGCTGCCAGGCACATTTGGTCAGGGCCCAGGGGCAGGGGCTTGCCACATGTGCTGGCCACCATGGCCCCTCCAGGCCAGGCCCAGGCTCATCTCCTGGGCACCCTGCGCTGCTGCTGTGCCTGCCCTGAGCCCTGTCCCAGGCCTTTGCCAGCCCTCCATCCTGCCCCCTCGCTCTTCTTCTCTGTTTCTGTTTGGCTTCCCATCCCTGTCCTCAGCAGATCAGATCACCAACATGTAACACAGGCTCTGTATGTGTATGTCCATGTGCTGTGTGGGGTCACATTATCTATCTTGGCTTTTAAGAGCTTTAAGACACCAAGGTGCTCCTGTAGGTGGATGACAGTCAGGCAGCTGGAGGCAGGGAGAAGCATCTGAACTGTGAAATTCTGTGAGGCACCAAAAGCAGGAGCTGCAGTAAGTCCCAGGCCCCTAGGGCCATGTCCCCATCTTCTGCCTTCCAGTCCCTCCCTGCCCCTTTCTGCATCCCCCATGCCTCCAGACCCATGCCCTCCTCTCTGTCTGTCTATCTTATCTATTGTGCTGCGCTTTGCCCCTCCATCTCTCTCTTTGCCTAGCCAACCACCTACCTGGCTCCCAACCCTCTCTTTCTCTCTCTGTAATTTTTCCTTATACCACTGTTCTCTCTATTTTACATCCTGCTCCCATTCCTTCTATTTCTCTACCCCTCAGTCCTGGTCCCTATGGCTGTCTCTGTCCTCTCCGTCCCTAGTTTTGTTTTTTCCATCTCTGTCTTGCTCCTCATAATTGTTTTTTTGTTCTTCATGCCCCTGACCCACTCCCTGCCCCTCCTTTTTTCTCTCTATCCCTCTGTTCTGCCCCTCAGCCCTCTATTTCTGTCTCTATCACTGCTGTTCCCTGACCTTTATTTCTCTAATTCTCTGATGTTATCCCTGTCCCTTTATTTCTCTCTCTATCTCACCATCCTGCTCCTTGTCCTTGTCTTTTTCTCTGTATCCCATTTTCTGGCATTCTGTCCCTCAACTTTTTTGTTATCCCTCTGTTCTTTTTTCTTCTTTCTCCCTCTGTCCTTCTGCCTGTCTTTCTCTTCCCTGCCCTATTCCACTGTCCTGTTTCCCATCAGTAATTTTTTTATATGCAGGAAATGCAGTGCTGAATGACATATTTGTCATGAGCCAGACATTCGATTAGCGTTCATTGGTTTTGGCTTGTGCTTGGTGCTCCTCAAGCTATAGATGGCCTTTGTCCAAAGTCTATTAAAGTCAGTGTGAAAGTGTTTACTGAAGTCTATGGATTTGCTGTTGGTGCCTCAGGGGGGAGATTTTCTTTAAAAGCATATTTTCCTAGATGCTTAAATCAAATAGGATGGTGCCCATGGCACTAGCCTGAAACCTGAATTTTTAAATCAGCTCAAAACTATGTGATGTGTAACTTAAAAAGTTGGGCAAAATTATTAGTTCTCTAATTGCTTTGTTAACATTAGAGGTTTGATTTAAAGGTCACTGACAGTAGCATGACTTTATGTTAAATAATGAGTTTCTGACTGGGAGTTAGAAGTACCTAAGTGTAACTAAAATGGAAGTTAAAAAAAGAAAGGCTAGAAAAGTTTAGACTCTCATGTTTTATAACAGCTAGAGGGGAAGGTGTGGTTATAAAAAGATCTGCTTAGCTAGTGAGACTTGTATCAGGAATAGAAGCTCAGTCAAAACAAAGTTCTGAAAAAGTATTCCTTCTTGTCATTTGCTTTTTCTACTTTGGTAAGGAAAATGTTATGTGAAATCCAAGCATAAGAAGCAAAAAGGATGCTAGGGAGGTAGGATCTTACTGCAAGCTTATACCAGTTCTATAACTAACCTATGAAACTGTTTTCTAACTGCTGTGAAGGCAGGCAGCAGAGGTAGTGTGTTTGTCAGCCTCACTGTGGTCGGTGGGAGTTGAAGCCAGATAAGAGCACAGTAGACTGGAAACTAATTCACCCCTTTTGAGACTTTTATTGATATGCTGCTTCTTTCCCAAAACAGGTTGAGATGTAATTGCTGCAACAACAATCATTCTTTGCATCCCTTGCCACATTCAGCTCCAGCTGTGCCTTCGCCTTCCTGAGCCCATCCCTACCTGACAGGGCAGTGTCCCTAGCCTCTTCTCAGGATACCTGTCCTGCTTCCACTGCCTGAGCATTTCCATCTTGCCCCTTCGTTTGACCCAGCATGTCTCTGGCCACCAGGTCCAGTAATGCACCTGCTCTGGTAGGGCTGTCTATTACCTGGCCTAAGAATTTATTCTCAGTGCTCTCCAGGAGTCTCCTGGACTGCCTACAGCTCACTGTGCTACTTTTCCAGTAGTCGAGGTGGTTGAGGTCCTCCAACAGGATGGGAGACTGAGCACGATGCTTCCTGTAGCTGGAGTGAGAAGGCTTCGTCAACAGGCTCACCTTGATGGGGTGGCCTGTAGTAAACACCCACCACAAGGTTCTAGGTTGGTAACTATGGTTTCAGGTAGGTTATCCTTCTTCGAGTTGTGATTGCGTGGCTGCTGAATGTGCTTGATGATTTTTCTTTCCCAATACTAAATATGCTGTTGCATTTATTACAAGCGAAGCTCTCCTTGCACCTTTCTCAACAATGTTGTCCTCCTGGCTATGAAGCATGAATTGCATTCTGTGTGCATGCACACCCTCCAGTGGTTGTTTTACTACAGCACAAGTTTTGAGCTTTTTTATACAGGACAGTTTTATGTTTCTGTCCACATTCCTGTTATCTCCAGTAAGTTTCCAGCCATTACTATGTCTTGTTTTCTCAGTCTTACTCTGTCCAGTGACCAGGATGTAACCATGCCAGGAATATTCAGGTCCTTCAGGGGCTGTGGTGAGTGGTCTGGCAGACACATATGGCTCCATAAAGAAACAAACCTTTTTTTTTTTTTTTTTTTTGTGAGCAGGGATAGAAACTGGCAGTACATAGTACTCAACCTCACTGCAGTGTTCCAGCTGATGAAACCTCTCTTAGACGGCAATAATTGACAGAAAAAGATTTAACGTCCCTTTCACAAGGACATTTAAACTTTCCTTTAGAATAAAAGCTTATCTACTAATTGGTTTGACCCCTGATTCACCTGTTCAATAAAGAAATTAATCTTTTAGCCATCAGGCTGAGCAATGGTAACTCTCACTGAGAGTGTGAATGAGATTTTGTTTTTTGTTCCTGGGCAACACACTGTTACACATCGCAAAACGCCTACGGTACTGTTCATAAAGGGATTCGTTGTCATAAGTCAAACAGGGCCTTTATTTGATATTTAAGGGCATTTCAAGGAAAATAGTAATTGAAAAGGAAGAACAGTTGTGCTTGATCATCCATTTAAAGACTATCAGAAAGGACTGATAATTTTCCTGACATTATAATAGCTTGATTTCTGCTGGCTTTACATCTCTTTACATTACTTTTGCATCAATGTCTTCTGAGGTATTATTTGCAGGTTAATTTTTTTGGTAAGATTTCATAGTCTCATACTTGATGACAAGTGTCTGCAGGTCTAAATGGGGTTTTAGTTCCCAAGGGGATGCTTGTTAGAAAAGAGTTTATGTGGTGCTATCTCAACTAGAGTATTCGCTTCATCTGAATCTTGCAGGAACCTCTGGAGCCTAACATGCACAAGCCTCGCTCTTACCAGTTCATGAGAATGATGTGTGACAGAATTAACCCCTTGATGCTGGACCTTCTCAAAAGAAGAGAGGATTTATGTTGTCTGTGACGGCAGATCAACAGAGGCAGTAAAGTGGGAAGAGCTGACCTCGGATACAATGCAAGGTCAGTGTCTTGCAATACTGGGTTGTGGCAGTTGGGTAAAAAGAGGGAGTAGGTGTGTATGCATGTGTGTGAAGGTGCATAGTCTCATAGAATATAATCAAAATGAAAAATGTGGCCTGGAAAAAAAAGAACCCAAAGTGGTTGTTTTTGTTTTTTGTATGTTAGTTTTGTTGGGTTGTTTGATTTTTTCCCATTGTCCTGTAGAGAAGAAGTTGGGAGAAGTAAAAGTTGAGAGAAGCTGAAGTAGAGTTTCTTGTAGAGAAAGTATATAGCTATTTCATATAGGGATAAATAGTGATGTTCACCTTATCTTACCCAAGTCAGAATTAGAGACTAACACAGCTGAAGATCTATTTGTTTGCAACTAGAGAAGAAACAGCCTGCAATATTAAAGTTTTGAAAAGCCAGAAGAAATCAGTAGAGACGCAGAGGGTGGGACTGATAGTTTTATACAGCTTTTCAGATTGTAGTTAATCTCATTTGATCTTGGGTAAAGCTAAAAGTTCTCAAGGCCACAGTTACTGGCCTTTAGTACTCAGAGCTCTCCAACCACTCCGAAATATTTTTGTCCTCTTATTTAGAGTTGGTCCCCATTCTTTGCTCTGTATTGCATCCATTGGGAGTGGTTAACTTAGAAAACTGATAAATGAAGTAAGCTCTTCCCTGACAATTCTGCAAATGACTCCTGAAAAATCTTGCTCATTAGAAGCCAATCCTAGCAGTTAACCATGTTTGGGAACCTACTGTGTGAAGTGATAGAGAAACACAGAGTAGGTCTGGCCCTACAAGTTGTGATTGGTTTCTTTGGTTTAACATCAGCACATCCCTTTCCTCTGAGACAGGTACTGTCTTCCCCAAAACAACCAGCAATAGCGACTCTCCCTGTGGATTTCCCTGAAGGAAAGTGGAGTCTTTCATGAACTGTTACTTTCTCTAAGACACTGGGTGTGATTCTCCATTTTCTTTGCAAGACCTTGGAGAAGGTATGTTACATTGCTCTGTGTCTCAGTTTCCCAAGAAAACAATCCATTTAATATTTCATTACTCGAGGCAGGCTCTGATCTACCAGCACAGCAGGGAAATACCACTTTGTTATTAAGCTGTCCCTTAAGTGTCTCGTGTTGGCCACTGTTGGAGATAGGATGCTAAGGCAGGTGCATATTTGCTCTGATCTGCTCTGTTTCTGGGCTCATTTAATGTACCTCACCTAGCAAGTATGATCTTGATGAAGATTTCTCTGTACTTGTGCCATTAACAATTTCTTCAAATAAAGCAGAGAGATGCTTCAAAAGCAGTATAGAAAAGCTTACTTCCTCACCTCTTGCATTAAATAGAATAGTGCTGGTTAACAAAGCAACCAGAACAGTAAGAGCTCATGCTATTGGCAGAGATGGTCTTTACTGCATGGCATAAACTCAGTGCTGTGTAAGAAAGTACAATAGCTAATGAAACAGCAGCGACTTTCCAGACCCTAATGCCACTTCTTTTTAATGACTTTCCATTATCTCAAATGCTGCCAAAATTGATGTAAGAAGAGAAAATTTCCCATAAATAAGGAATTTGAAGGCAACTGGACATGCAAAAAATGTCTCCTACCGCTTCTGTACTTGTGCCTTTTCTGTGCCTTGGGACTGAGAGGATTCATGCTCCATGTTCTCCAACCCCAGAGCAGGTGGAAGGCTGGACAAGTGACCCTTCCTAATCTTGTAGCTAGGAACATAAGGGCACAAGGAAGTGTAGGGTGGGTGTGGCCTCTGGTAGAACTTTCAGTGGGGAGTTTAGTGTGTTACAAGAGCTCTCAGCACTGTGTGGATTGTGTCACCTGAGGCAGGCAGAACTGACCTCTGCTGCCAGCCTGGGCCAGCCATAGCAGCAGTGGCAGACCCTTGTACTCGCTCTCTGGGACAGTCAGGTTGGAAAGTAGAGCAATATAATACTTGCATTTGGATTTCACAGTGAAGTATGCAAGTAGCACAATAGAGTCTGCAGAGTCAGCAAGATTAATTTTGTGAGTTATGTGATGCCTGTCAGATTGTGACAGGTGAGCCGAGGGCTTCAAGCCAGTGAGAAGAAGCACTAGTTTATTGCATTCTGTGTCAAGATGTGAATGAGAACTTCAGACATAGTCTTCCATGTGCTTCCTCTAGCAGTGCATGTGGGTCAGATGGAGGAAGAACCCAAAAGCCATGACTTGGTGTGACAAGTATTATCGGCTGGTGAGCAGGTAAAGTGACAAAGAAGTCACCTGTGACGTCCTTATCAAAGCAGGCAGAGCAGAACAATGAACTGTTTTACCAACCAAAAAAGGAACAGGACTAGAAATGTATTGAGGGGCCAAAGTCAGGGAGTGTGGGACTTGTCAGGTTGTCAAAGGGTTTTGTGTTGTAACTTTCAGAGAAAAACTCTTTTGCCACCAGACTACTCTGCAAAGCAAAGCTGAAGAGAAGTGGAAAACAGAAAAGAAACAGCAAAAGACTGCTGTGAGACAGAGCGTAACAGCAAGGGGTGAGGAAAGTTAAATAACGTGAGAAGCATAAAGTAAAATGAGTGTAGTGGTCTACCAGCAGTGGAACCAGAAGCAGATATGGACAGAGAGGGTGGGTGGGAGAAAAGATCAGATGGAGAGTCTACCTGAAAAGACAAGCTTGCCCTTGGTTGTTTCTCTCTTCACTAAGGGTGGGTGAAGGCTTAGGATGACTTTCTGTCTGTTGGTTAAAAGAAGCTAACATTCTTCTTTCCTGGCTCAGGCTTATCTTGAAAATAGGAATTAGCTGGCTAAAAGAGAGTAAGCAGGGCTAGCACAAAGAACCTATGACAGTAGTATTTGTACTTTTAGCATGTCATGGTATATTTTAGCTGTATCAGCAACTTCTAGTAGCTATCTTTGGTTAGGGACTTTGGAGTCCTATCCTAGCACAGCCTAGCTGTGAGTGAGACAGTTCATTGCACCTGTAAAAATCATACTTGTGCATTTTACTGTACTTGAACACACATTTTGTTTCCTATTAGTAGCATTATTAGTAAAGTTGAGAGGTCAAAGACTTCCACAAAAATCATCGCATGAACTAGTCATTTAGGTAAGAATTAAATGTATGTTCCACTCTTTCTAGGTGGCTGGATGAGCTTTTGAGGCCTGATTATAGAACCGTTGTTAAGTCTCAACAATTATAACTGGGTATAACTATCAAATATATTTGTAATGCAAAAATGTTCATAAAGATAGGTCTTTGTCATAACAAATCGGACATTTAAAATTAGGTGATATGTTTTTACTTTAATCCCTATGTTTCTCGCATCCCTTCTGTAGTGTAGGTAATATCCCCTGTCATCTCAGGTGGGTGTGTGAAGCTATATTCTGTTCATGTAGACGAAAGCTTTGAAACTGGAAAATAAGGAATAACAGCAAATTTCAAAAGGGCATTTTTATTTTTCTTTTCAGATCAAAATGGGAGTGATGTTCAGTAAATAAGGTCTTTCACCATACACTGAACAAGGAAGATGAAAACTATTAGAGATATGTGTTCCATAAGCACTGTCTATTCTGTGTACTGGATAAAATGGGCCCCTGTGGTAAAAAGTATGTGTGCAATGATGTAATTCAAAATTGTATCCTTCATAGCAAAAAAGGTCCCGATTTAGATGACATGAGCAACCTTTGTTTCTGGTATTTTCTGTTTCAAATGTTAGACATTGTAAGCATAAGGTTCTTTTCTTCCTTAAATGCTGTTTTTAATGGGTAAATTCTTGGCTTTACAGAAAAAGGAAAGTGTCCCATTGCTCTCTCCCTCCTCAAATCCCATCATCTCAGTATTGATGCCATCAACAATCACCATTAGAAGTGGTTATCACTTGAGATAGTCCTTTATGGTAACCATATAATAGAATTCCCTAGGTAGCCAGACAGTAGAGGAGGGGAAGAGTCTTTGTCTTACTTTCAGCAATTTATGCTTTCAAGAAAGAAATGAAGTTATGGACCAATGAGGAGGGGGATTTGATGTTCTCTTTTCTCTCCCAGTTGAGTCTGTGTTTTGCCTGTAACCATAATGGGTGAGTCATCCTTCTCTGTCCTTATCTTAAATCCCAAGCCTTTTGTTTTACTTCCTCCTTCCCATCCCTGAGGGGGAAGGGGTGAGTGAGCAGCTGCTCAGTTGCCCTCTGAGTGGTGCTTAGTTACCCTCCGGGCTTAAACTACAACACTCCTTTTGTGGCACCCAAGTGGGGCAGGAGGAATTTGAGATAAGGTTAGTAATTGGGAGAGGTAATGGGCAAAACATGGCTCAGTGTTATCAGAATAATCAAGAGAATTTCAGTTGTAATTGTGGTGGAGGGACAAGGGTTGAACTGTGTACTTTCATTCAGTATTGTGATTATGCTATTTTAATTTGGGGAGGGGGAAGGTTTTTTTTTTGTTGATGTGAGTGAAGTTTGTGAAGACTGTGTGATGAATGTGGATTTTAATGATAAATCTTGAATATGTGACGCACAGAGGCAAGGTAAAGGTTATGTTTAAAATTACTTTAAAAAATTTTATTTCATTATATAATTCATCTAATAGGCACTATATATAATTCATGTGATAGGCATTCTTAATAGGCACTATAATATTTTCTGAGAAGATTTTAGTTTATGAAGGACCAACATTCAATTTATTCCTTACCTGCTTAGGTTCACATAACAAAATGCAGCCCTAGAGAAATGTATGTTTTTAAGTATTTTGGTAACTCAGCATTTTTGCTAACAGTAAAAGCTCTACATGTACTAACTTTGAGGGAAAATTATATTCCCTCCACTCCAGATGACAATGGATTCCCTGTGTTTTAACTGAAATGTAAATGAACAGTTCCTGCATTCAAGGTTGTTAACATTAAAACAGCAACTTAAACTGTTCATTTTTGTTATTTATTAAAATAGTATGCAATTATTTTTCCTGCTGTAATGTGAAAAGTAGAAATTTAAAGTTCAGCCTCTTTCTGAAGCCACAGTATCATAGACATTGCTCT